TTGCTATCGTCGCCCACCGCCCACACTGTACCGGCGCCCTCTGGACCAGCGACACCTCCGAAGTATCGCCCTCCGCCAAATCTAATAAACAGGTATTTAACCGTTTCTATAGTGTTGGTTGAGTTCTCCCGTGTCCGAAAAGTCTCCCACGCCTATACGCCATGAGACCCGGAACCTACAAGGGTCTTGAGTAGCCACCCTGGAAGCTGCCGTTGCTCAAGACCAGCAGCTTGGGGCTTTGGGGGGTTCCCTTCAGGAACTCAGCGGTTCCTTTGCTTATAAAGCAGTCTTATACCAGCTAATTGAACATGATGGAGTCTTAAATGATGAATCAAGATTTTATGGACATGTTTGTACATTCTCAATATGGAAGACCCGTGCCGTGGTGATTTAGCTTTATTGTCAAGAATTAGCACTCCAGCAGCTGATTTCCGGGCATGAATATTTTCGAAGAAATTTATGCCCGGAATTCAGCTGCAGGATAGTTTGAATGCCTTAGCACATAAAAAAATCCGCTCTTTTTGTGTATTTAGTGATCAAATAAATCAAGAACACTGAAAAAGCTCGTGTAAATAATTTATTGGTTCCGAATGGGTATGACCAAAGCTAACTAAAATCCCAATGCTTTTGTAAAAATAAGTTCAATTATTATATAGTTACAAACAGGGACACAATCATTCAGGTTTCGAGTTCATTCTTTTCGATTAGAATTAAAGTTAAATCTTGCTTGACTCCGAATGTTAATTAGTCCGATGCATCGAATAAAAAACTGTTCTGGATAAATGCCTTACTACTTTCTTATCTCTTTAAATATCAAAATCAAGACAAATTGTAACCTGAATTTTCATAATTTATCGTAAGATATCGTAATGAAACTGGCGAGTTACAGCGAATCAAGACCTATCGATTAGGAATGATTTATTAAGTTTGTGCGGGTTGCTATTTGTGGCAGATAAAAAGTGATATCTCCGTAAATACAGCCCCAAGTAACCAAAAGTTCCGCATTCAACGATAAAACTCACTTCCAAGTTCCATAAAGTTCCGACAGAACCGTCAAGTTCCATAAAGTTCAAATAAAGTTCCGACAGAACTTTCAAGTTCCTTAAAGTTCAAATAAAGTTCCGACAGTACTTTCTTTTCAACCAACCAAAAGTTCTGCATTCAACGATAAAGGGTGATACGGTCAAAATTTGGTCAAGGGAAAACGCGTGTAAATCGGTGAAATCGTTTATTTAAAAAATCAAATTAAATTTCTTTTTCAAGTTCAATTAGTATAAAATTCAGGAAAAATATTCAGTTAGGCTTCCGCTTTTCCAAATCCGAATTGCCGGGCCTTACGCTTGACCCCTGCCATCAGATTTTGTACAGCCACCTTGTCCACCTTCTTCGCCGCAGAAAGCCAGTTTGCCTTGAACTGCTGCTCGCCCTTAGCAGTTTTTTTGGTGTTCTTTAGGTTCCGCTTGACAATAGCCCAGTATTTCTCAATTGGGCGGAGCTCTGGCGTGTTGGGAGGGTTCTTGTCCTTGGGAACCACCTGCACGTTGTTGGCGGCGTACCACTCCATGGCCTTTTTACCGTAATGGCAAGATGCCAAATCCGGCCAAAACAGTACGGAACAACCGTGTTTCTTCAGGAAAGGCAGCAGACGTTTATTCAAACACTCTTTCACGTAAATTTCTTGGTTGACAGTCCCGGAAGCTATGAAAATGCTGCTTTTCAAGCCACAGGTACAGATGGCTTGCCAAACCAGATATTTCTTTGCGAACTTTGACAGTTTCATGTGCTTGAAAACATCTGCTACCTTTCCCCTTCCTTTTGCCGTATAAAACTCCTGTCCCGGAAGCTGCTTGTAGTCGGCTTTGACGTAGGTTTCGTCGTCCATTACCACGCAGTCAAACTTCGTCAGCATCGTCGTGTACAGCCTCCGGGATCGCGCTTAGGCCGTTGTATTTTGTTTATCATCGCGATTTGGAGTCACTACCTTCTTGTAAGTCGATAGTCCGGCTCGTTTTTTGGCTCGAGGCACGGTTGTAGACGATACACCAAGCTTATTTGCGGCATCTCGGAGAGAGAGGTTAGGGTTTCGCTTGAAACTACCGGCAACTATCTTTGTCGTCTCAGCGGCTTCCGGTTTTCGATTTCCCCCCGATCCAGACTTCCTGGCTGTCGACAAACGTTCCCCAAACACTTTAATTACATTTGTAACGGTTGATTTGATACCGTTTAAAATTTTTAAAATTTTGATACGCTGCTCTTCTTGCTTGGACGGCATTTTGACAACTGAAGAGTGAATTCCAAAATCAAAATAAGAGCAACATTCTACACACACACACCTTCAAAATGAGGGGTGTTCAGGTTTTTTAAATGCAAAATTGAAAGAAATACGTCAAGTTGATATTGACCAAATTTTGACCGTATCACCCTTTAAAACCCACTTTAAAGATCCATAAAAAGCATCTAAAGTTTCAACACAACTTTCTGGCTACTTTAGAAGCAATAGAAAGCACACGTGGAACTTCAGGCTCTTGATGTTCAAAAAAAGTTACTAAAAGCATCCCTAAGCACTTCTCAGGAACATCAGGCAAGGCTGAAAACATGGCCACAAGAAAGTTCCGAATAAGTTCCTAACGCAACTTCTTGGCAGCTTTAATTTATCTTAAAAGTTCCCTGTGGAGCTTCTTCGCAACTTGAAAGTTTCTAAAAAGGTCCATCATAGCCCACATGAAGCAATCCGCACAAGTCTTTTTAGGAACAAAAATTAATGTACGTAAATATGAAATGATTTTATATTTATGCAGTGCATCCATTCCATCCAAACATAAACAATAAAGTGCAATTTTCTGGATTCGAACCCGTGTATTTGGCATGGGATCTACGAACGCTAGCCACTGCTCCACAAGTGTGTTGGAATACAACGCGGACAAACATCAATTTACAATTCATCAAGGTTTTGTGTTTTGTATTCAAGTCAGTCAGCTGGCACTGACAACTCCAACAGTAGGCGGGACAACAGCTCACTTTAATATATCTCAGATGGTGTAGCGGTTCGTGCTGAGGCGCTCACGCAGAGAACGACTGGGTTTAATTCTTAAAACAGCTTCAATACTACGGATAAACCAATACACTTCATACTTGCCTTTAGAAATAACTTTCATAAAGACCTGACCTTCATAAAAGAGCGAACTTAAATATAAAATTGGTGTAGAGGACAAACATCTTTTTTAATTATTTTTTTAAAAGTTCCGTTCAATGCTCTTCAATTATGGTACCGGACCTTTCAAGTTCTTATAACGACTTAAAATGAGGCTGCTTAGAATTCTATAGACCACCTTCAACCTAGCTGTTTAAACCACAAATAACCTTTTTTTATCAGAACTATTGGTTACTTGGGGCCCTAATCGAGATTTTAGGGGTTTTGGATGTTAGAAATCTTAAAATGCATTTATCTCCGTTAATTCAGCCCTAATTGCGATTTCAGGGGTGTTTAGGTGTTTGAAATTGCATGATTTCGGTTAATGTTCCTAATGTCGGCCTAAGTGTCCCTAATTTAAAAGGTAAGCATTTTTTAACATTTTTTCAATAGCAACCTAAAATATCCATTTGTATTGTCCAGATGGCGAATTGATCCAAGAAAAATTTAAGACTGTAAGATTTTTATCGATCCAGAGACCAACCTTAGAGCAATTTCCCCTACTAACAAAGTGCTACACTCGTACACATCCTGTTTTGCGAAGAAACAACCTCTAATCATATTAAACCAGGTTCAACTTAGATTTGCTTTGCATACTCTGTTAAAGGGAACGCAACCTCGCTTCCTGCATGAACAGAATAAAAAAAAATCATGCTAATTGAATTTCACGCGATGGCACTACAGCTTTCACTCAAGCAGGCATGGATGTTCTACAAAAAGTTCGATAGGTCGTGATGCGGGTTTAAAAACAGCTACCACGGTCTAGACTCCAGACCCCGTCTAGACCGTGTCCTGAACGCTCCCAGCCCGACAAACTTAAACGCTCATCGAATGTCAATCACTTAGGACATACCACCTCGCTTAGACTCGCGCAAAACTCGCGCAAAACTCGCGCGGAAGTGGGGGTATGGTGGTAGTCAATATGACTGATCGTGGCGGGGGATTTTGCTGACCTTCAACCGAAAGCGCGTGAAAATGTGTGTTTGGGGAAACGACTAGACAGCAACGGCACGCAGGCAGACAACCTTTGGGAAAATGCTGCCCCACTCGACGACCACGGAATGATGAATGAGTGAACCCCCTCCCGGAGGAGAAGGACGCGACTAATTTGTCAAATTGTTAGCTCGGGAATTTGTATGCGGTCGGTCGGTCGGTTGGTCGGCCTCTTTTTCAAACGTCCGGATGGTCCTTGTTGATGTGGCTACTCATATGAAAGGTCTATGAGCTGTGGAATGAGAAATTGACGGCAGAGTAATCAAGTTAGTATGGTTGTCAAAATGCAGCAGCTGTTGATGAGTTTGGAAGCCGGGGGGTTTTCCGTCATGGTCAAGGATATTGCATTAGGTTTGGTGGAGTTTTAGATGTGAGCACCCCTCGATGCATAACACATATGGAATATGTGAGTAAACTCTTTTCCCTACGATAGTGTTTCGATCGTTTTGATTTGTTTAGCCATTAGTCGTCATTTATCTATTCTGCCTCTCTCGATGCACAGGGAACCAAGCATGTATATTTACAAGAGTACTAATTGATGTGTACGTTTGTCATTAGGCTGCAGCAACGGTTGTGGACGGTGGAGATTGAGGAATACGGGGAAGACTAATTACGGGATTGACGACTTACTTTCGTTCCGCGCAGAACAACCGTGGCGGAGTGTAGTTCTTGGGAGTGTTCCAATGAAAGTGACAATCTCATAAATTTGTTCTATAAATAGCCGTTGTCTACCGATTGTATCAACGTTTTGCACTGACGACGTTAACGTAACTGTGTTTAATATGTATGGTGATTACTGTAATAAATTGATTCTAACCTGACAAATGAAATACCCTTTGATGTTGATACTCTTGTGTGACTGTAACCCCTTGATATTGGGATAAATTTGTGTGTAAACTTAGCGCGTCGAGCAGGTCGATGCCAGGGTCCAGTGCGCCACCTGTGGAAGGAGAGAAGAGAATTTCGTTAGTTTGATATTTTTTTAAGGAAACACGAAAGTGATCTCTATAAACTTCGAAACTCAATTTATCAACATCTTTCGTGTACGGTTTTTGGATAAGAATAACAATTCGGTCAAGTTAAAAACAAAATCCATCCATTTGGTATTTCCATTACCCAGCATGGTATCACTTCGGATTTTAAGTGTATCATGATCAAACAACATGATGGACCTGTCAGCGCTCTGACAAGCGGATCAAGATTTACGGCCTGTGAAAACGACTTTTCCGCGCGCCATGGTGCGCGTGTGTCACATAACTAGTCTCAAACTCTGAAGCCAGCCGCGACGCGATCTCTTGTTGACAAAACAACGATCGTTAATCTGGTGTGAGAAGGACCGAACGCGTTGGCGGGAGTCTTTGTGAAACACGAAACATCAATTGCTACGGTCAGTACGGTGATGAGCGCGAGATGATCGGACCGTTTGACACCCGATGATAAGCGTGTCATAAATGCGTGGAAATTATGTGCCTCAAAAGTGTTTCGGTTCGACGTGGATCGGTAATATGAGGCCCAAGTGTCCATTTACGGACGATGGAAATAGTTTTAGAAACAGTTAATTCGCTTGTTTTATTGTAAGTGGTAGCAACCAATCATGATGCTGCTGAAAAGGTGGTCCCTTTAGCGAGAAACTGAGTGACTGGTGGATATCGAATGTCGATTGTTGAGTAAATTATGCGTGTTGGAGTTGAAACGACCCACATGGATGTAGTTCATTCATAAAACTGATTTTTGATGCGATGGGATCAAAGAGGCAAATCAGGAAACCGTAAAATGTGGAATGATCTTTTTTCTGTTATGCAGCGATTGCTCAAGCATTGATGGCGTCGTTTTGCGTATCATTTTCAATGATAAATCAAAACTTTGCCGAAGAAAGCAACCATGTGTTACTATCTGAATCTTGAGATTTGGCACGCTGACTTTTGAGATAGTTTCAAACTAAATAATCCAATATCTCTTGAGCTCTGCCACCTGGACATCTTTGCTGAAGACAGCAAGTTTCTGTCTGATGAGGATTATCAGGTTTAGATCTTATTGCAGCTTAGATAAAATTACCGTTTCACTGTACACTAGCAACATCTAGTGCGTCAGCTCCAAACTAATGATATCATTAATGGGGGAATTAATGAATTCTCGGCATCCAGAGAACCGCTAGAACTGTAGGTGCTTCAAAAACGATTGCTGCTGAAATCAATTAACTTGAGCTCAAGGAATATAACAGTAATTCCACAGAATTTCCACACACAAATTCACTCCACTCGCTTAGAATTCCCTGAACTCCAGGAATTTTCATTTCTCCTGAAACTTCTATTTCTAAATGTACTTGGAATCTCCAGTGCACATAAATTTACACATCTCTAAAACTTAAAAAAAACTCTAGGAACTGTTGAAACTCCTGGAGATCCAAAAATGTTTTATGGTATAGTATACATCACCTAGTTTGTCTGCCATATCCACGTTCGAAAGTCCTGGATTCGCTTTAAAAGCCTTCATGACGTTCTGACGCAGTTTCCGGTCCACTGTACCGCTTCGACGCCTTGATTGCATCTTCCAGGAAACTGAAAAACGTTTCTTGAAACGTTGCAGCACTGCGCAGACGGTGGTATTGGCCATTTTCAACTCCTTTGCGATCCTCGTACCTGACCATGTTGGGTTTTCATATCTTCCATCGCGTGGCAATTCAAGAAAACATATTTTTTTTTTTAATTTTTGCAGAGGATTTCAAGAGAAAGACAATGTAAGCAAAGATGTAAAGTGTCAAAAGATTCCAGAACCGACCACTAGGAACGCTGTGCTGGACAAAAAGAAGCGATCCGATTCTAAATTGGCAGGGCTTTATTTCAAATTTGAGTTACGCTCTAGGGCCATAAACTGGAGCAATTATGCCATAGCTCACTCACCCTATTTAATTTAATTTTTATTTCTTAGAACATTAATTCAACAAACACCTAGCCAATAATCGGTCGATGAACAACAGAACAGAATTTAATTTATTTTAGAAGCGTCGACTTTAAGAATTTTTTTACCAAATTTACAACAACCAGTGGCGGTTAGAAAATCAAATTCCAAAATTTTCAATTCAACAATTAAAAAAAAAAACTCCATTAGTTTTGTAACTCCAAGCAATTTTTCTGTCCTTCAGAAACGTTCTTCATCGTCTAGATGCACTTCCGCAGTTATTAATTGAGAAATTTCAATGCCAACCATGAATTTGTATATATTGTGGTATACATTTATTACACTCAAACAAAAAATCGTATTTTCCGATGTTTTGCGAAGATAACTTCAATTGTTAACCAAAGTATGATCACTCTACAATTGATTATCTTTGATGTTACACATCAAGATTATCGACAACAATGATAATTCACTGCTATGAAAACAATCACAGAGTTATATATGTTGAAATCCCGACCATCTACGAAGCTGTTGTCTATGGCAAAATTGATCAGAAATCTGACACCTTTAGAATGGTGAGAAGATAAGTTCAGAATTCTGCTATAATGTGACGCTAGTCTTCTTCTTCTAAGTACCATGAAATCAGCTGAAATGTTCAGTAAATCATTGTGTGCATTTGTGCATTTTTACTGAACATTTCAGCTGATTTCATAGTACTTATTAACCTTTCTACAGCAGCTTTTCCGATGATATATGGTACAATTACACTTCAAAATGGTGCAAAGCGATGCATACGAAGGAGCATTTTCAAATGCTTAATGTACAGTTTTCTCTATTTTAGGGAGCGTACTTTAAATATTTACTGTGCATTTTAAGATTTTTAACGTATTTTGATCAATCATTTAAGGAGATTTTTTTTAGTTATTAAGTTTATTTTCATCCGTTTTATTGAGCAAAAGTAGGGCTGCCGTTAAAAATCCCACCACTATGCTGTGCTGGTGTACATCTTAAGTTCTCAAGATTACTATATTTCGTGTTGTTGATTATCTGGAAAATTGCAGTCTTCGATAAGGTTGCTCAGTTTACCAAGGCCTTCTACATGGTGGCTAAGCTAGTATAAAATTCCCTCCCTATGCGGTGAAAACAAGTATACGAACTTCCATACCCAAGAAGATAGCATATGAATATCTTAATTAGGTATGATAGCTTATTTTGGTATGCTTGAGGTATCGTTATCGAGTCAGTTATCGAAATATTTAGCAAAAAAAAAATCAAATAAATAATAAATTAATAAAACGTGATCTTTCAGTTTTTTTTACAATAACTCCTAAACTATGGCCCACTTAGTAATGGAAAAAAAAAACTCTTGCTTATTTCAGCGCTCCTAGTGGACGTTTTCGGAAGCATTTGATGTCTATTTGTTGAAAACAACAATAATATTAACAGTGTACATAAAACGCTCTTGTTTTGGAGACAGTCACCATTAAGGGTCCTGTGCACCATCAGCGGTGCAAAGGGCCAACGTGAAAGACTTCCATCCTGGGCGGCTGCTCCCTTTTGCCTTGACCGGGGCCCAGGTCAGATTCCTATCGACTTGCTTAATTTCCTTATTGAGGCTCCGCCGCCATGAGCCCCTGGGTCTGCCTCTGCTGCGATGCCCTGCCGGATTCCAATCCAGCGCTTGCTTGCAGATTTCGTTTCCGCCCCGTCGAAGTATGTGGCTGACCCACCTCCACTTTCGCTCTCGAATTTCTGTTGCTATCGGCTTCTGATGACATCGAAGATGGAGCTCAGCATTCGCTGATACACACCACGTCTCGCTGGCGTATAACAACACATATTCCACGTTCGAGTTGAAAATTCGGATTTTGGTGCGTTGACTTATCTGGTTGGATCTCCATACGTTTCGTAAACTCGCAAAGGCAGCCCTAGCCTTCATGATTCGTGCACCTATGTCGCTCTTGGTCCCGCCGTCCGACGCTATTTGGCTGCCAAGATATGGGTTACTTTCGACCTTCTCCACTGCTTGCCCCGCTACCGTAAACTTGAAAGGGTTGCCCGTGTTGATATCCAACGATTTGGTCTTGTTGACGTTGATGGTGAGACCCGCCGCAGAGGAGCGTTCGGCTAGGTCATTGAGCTTACTCTGCATATCAGGGCGCCGTTGTGCTAGTAGAGCAACATCATCAGCCAAATCGAAGTCGTTGAGATGCTTCATGGTGATAGGCTGCCAAAGCAGCCCACGATTCGGTTCACGGTCAATTGCACGTACCATGATCTCGTCGATTACGATGAGAAATAGTAGCGGTGATAGTATGCATCCTTGTCTCACACTAGCGACTACCCGGATAGGGTCGGACAAGGCTCCGTTATGCAGAACTCTGCATTTGAAAGCCTCATACTGCGATTCGATGAGGTTGACGATTTTATCCGGGACTCCCTTGCGTCTCAGGGCGCCCCACAGATTCTCGTGATTGAGACGGTCGAAAGCTTTTTGGTAGTCAATGAATACCAAATAAAGGGACTCTTGGAATTCATTGACCTGCTCCAGGATGATGCGAAGCGTGACAATATGGTCCACACAAGATCTTCCGGCACGGAATCCTGCCTGCTGCCGTCGGAGAGGCGCGTCGATCTTCTCCTGTATCCGATTCACGATAACTTTGCACAGAACTTTGAGAACAATACACAGTAACTACTAGGACATCGTTGCTTGCTATTTTCAGAATTCACACAAGAACAACATCAGCATCTCTTATTATGAGAAAAACTAAAATACATACATTCGTGATGGTCTTCGGCAACAGTGTCGTATGACAGCGCCTGTCATATGACATTTTAATTTGGTACTGTAATTTGATAGCGGAAGCAGAGGCAGTCGATTATCACAGAAGATTACAAGACTGCTTACAGGCATACCGCGCCAGTAGGCAACCAAATCGATCACTCAAGCAAAATACCGTTGTTAGAACCTGTGCTCGAAAGCTGTATGACAACCTGCTAACCAAGTCCGGTGGGTGCATACTTATAGATCATGAAACA